ATCTATGATTGAATATAGAGTTTCTTTTTCAGTTCAAACATCAAATATAAAACTAAATTAAATGGAAAACATATACATTTGAATATAATTGCACAAATTAGACAAGAGTACAAAGAATTTACTATTTCATTTACTTTCAACACAATAAAGTTTAACCACTCACTATTATTATGATACTACAGTGAATTCATCAACAAAAAATAACATGGTGTTTACAATATGGAACTTTTCTCCCTGCTTTAAGACATTATAACGGTTATCTACTTATAGAATTAAGCTACTTTGTTTTTTTCTAAAAGCTTTATGCTTAACATTGACTTGGTAGCTTAACTAATAGTGTTTTCTTATATGTAGCGTTTTCTATATGTTTAATCTCTTATAAATATTTTGGTCTAAATTAAAATCTTATACTATTAGGTCCATCATACAAAGTTTAAATAAAATCTAAACTACTTGGCCTATAATATAAAGTCCAAATAAAATCTAGACTATTTGGTCCAAAATACAAGGTCTAAAATTATTCTTACTACTCTACTAAATTTTTTATTATGGCTTAAGATGGTCTAAGAGAAAGAGTCGATGCCCATCTTCCATAGATGATTCCAACTCTTCATAAATGTGCTAGATCATGGTTACGGGTATGTCATCATCCCCCCTCTTAAAAAGAATTTTTCCTCAAATCTTCAAGTTGATATAGGGCATCCTTCTCTTTTTTTCTTTTTGGAGGTATTTGTCTTTGCTTCCCCAGGGTCAAATACCCTTCTACTTATAACACAAGATAGTACAAATGTTAGTACAATAAGTATAAGAAGAATGTAGCTCCCAAGGATGATACACCTTTAATCAAATAAATGATCAAGGTTTTGGTTTTTGGAAGCATTTTCTTTGAAACTCTTGTTTGCCTCATGTTGAATGTATGTTCTTTTGAAATGATTTCCCTTTTCAACACAAGGTTTTATTTAGTCTTGTATTTTCATGTTTCTTGATGAAGATGGTGAAAATACCTCTTTTATTTTTCCATACAAGTCTTTGGCCTTTAACATAAGAATTCTCTTGTTGGGGGAATTCTTTAGACTTGTGTTATTTTTCTTGACACTTAGAACATTGATTGTTATAAGTGTCTTTATTTTTCTCTTTACCTTATTCTTTTTCTATTTTCTTTCTCATTTGTTCTTGATCCTCTTCCACTTGAGAAGGTGTGAGAGGATGAAGTACAAACTTTCTTTTATTGTGAGTGATGATTATCTCATTGATGTGGCCATGATGTAAAGATTCTCTATCAAAAAGCCAAGACCTACCCAACAAAATGTGACAAGTTTCCGTAGGTACTATGTCACATAACACACTATCTTCATAATTCCCTATGGATAGCTTGACCATCACTTGTTCATTAACTTCCATTTCCTTGTCCTCATTGATCCATTGAAGTTTATACGATTGAGAATGAGGAAAAGTAGTTAATCCAAGCTTGTTAACCAACCTAGTGCTACAACAATTTGAACATGAGCCACTATCCACAACAAGGGAACCTATTTTGTCTAAGGATTTACATCTAGTGTGGAAGATGTTATCTTTTTATGTGTGCTATTGTGAACTAGGTTGATTATGGAGAATACTTATTATCATAAGAAGTTCTCCCTCACAAGGATGGACATCCTCACTTACACTTTCTTCTTGTTTCTTTGCGCCACTTCTCTCACTCTCACTTTCGTCATCTTGGCTACTATATACATCAATACCCCTTAAGATCATGGTATTTTTGGTAGGGCATTATGATGCAATGTGACCTCTACCAAGACACTTGAAACACTTAATTTAACCAGTGCGAGTGCGAGATGATGTTCCCACCCTTAGTCTCTCTTTTTCTTTATCTTCTCTCTTCTCCCTCCTTATATTCCTAGAGGGTTCTTCTTCTACCACTTGCTTACCATCTTATAGTCTTTCATAACACTAGAGTTAGAGTGGAAAGCTTTAAACCTTTTTTAAGAGTTATTTCTCTACCTTAATGCAAATTTGTACCAAATCATTTAAGTCTTTGGTGGGGCAAAAATTCCACTCTATCCCTAATCTCAAGTTTAAGACCACTTAGAAACTTAGAGATGGTGGTCTTTTCTTCCTCTTTAATTCCCGTTATCATCATGTAGAGCTTCATCTTTTGCGTATAGCTCTCAATGCTCATGTATTTTTGTTGGAGCCTTTGGAGTTTGTCCATTAGCTCCCTATGATGATATAAGGGAATGTGTCTTCTTCTCATGATACTTTTTAAGTCATTCCAATAGGTGACTTGGTGAAAATTAGAGAGTCTTCTCTGTCACACAAGGGGAGTCCACAAATACATGGCATTCCCTTGGAAACTCAAAGTGGCCAAAGTGACCTTTCTCTCCTCACTCACTTGATGACACTCAAAGTGTTGTTCAACTTTCATTTCCCAATCTAATTATGTCTCAACATCTTCTTTTCCATGGAAATGGTGGAGGTCTACTCTAACTTCTCTTGGAGGGTGCTCTCTTTGAATTCTAAGAGGGGGAGGTTGATAATATTGATGGGCAAGCCTACTATCTACCTCATAATGTGTGGGTTAAGTTGGAGTTTTAGAACTCCTTCTTGTGTGACTCCTACTCCTACTCCTACTCTTGGTTTTAATCTTGTTTTTCTTATATCTTCTTGAGCTTTTTCTTGTTTCTCATTAAGGACTCTAAGTTCTTCTTTCAACTTAGCAAAATAGTCTTCTCTTTTAATTTTTTCTTTTTCTTTGATAAAAGTTTCTTGCTTTTGCCAAATCAAGTGACTTTAGCTCTTTTGCTAAATTTTTCAAAGTGAGATTCCTCATTAGAGTCACTACCAATTTCATAGGAAGTTGACTTAGACATCCTTAAAGGTTTTCAAAAAGATACAATGCACAAGCAAATACTTAAATTTCAAAAGGAGTTCCTTAAGAGACTTAAGGAGGCAAAAGACACCCAAGTTCACTTCTAGGAAAGGGAAATGAATCACAATGAATTGCTTATATACCAGACATTTCCTAGTCAAATTTTACCTTAGGCACTCTTGAACCAAATTTCTCAAAGGGAACTAAAGTTGAAATTAAAATTGACACACACTAAACTATCACAATTAAGAAAGCAAATAATAAACTAGTTATGCTGCCTAATGATTAAGTTAGAAGAACTTTGGTTCCTCTAACCAACCAACTAAAACACAATTTACTAGGAAATAAAGGATCATGTTGGGAGATGGGATTGAGCACCAAAGACTTTTCCAAGATACCTAACAAGGTCGAATTACAAAAGGCAAAGAAAGGAAAAATTACAAAACTAAAAATTACAACCAAATCAAAGCTTCCATAAGCTTTACAAGTTTACTCCGCTTAAGCCCAAATCCTTACGATCATGATCAACCTCCTTTTTCCCCGACTTAGCCAAGTTTTAGATGAAAGCGAACAATACTCCAACTTTACACTTACGACAACAAAAGACTTAACACAATCAAACACACCAACAATTCAACCCTACACAACTTAGAAAATAACCATTCTCAACTCATTAGAAATGGATATAACTTGCACCACATGTATAACTTCCAATCAACAAACTTAACTTGTCCAAACAACAACATTCAAATCAAAACAACAAGAGTCAGCCAAACAACAACCAAAGCAACGTATTCATTTTAATCAACAAAACACCAAAATTTAATATTGCAAATGAAACGAGAACACATAGTATATGAATCATGCACATAACAAGATGAAAATAACTTAAGTAAAAGACTAAAAGAGATTATATACCTTAACCCCATGGTTTATTCCCAAACATCTTTACCCATACCAAAATTAACAACTAATATAACTTAAACAGATTCTGAAATGTTATAAACATCATAAAAAATATTCCAATAGTTTAATAGCTCCTAACAAACTCCTTTTAAGTTTGCACCTACACCATATTCATGCTTAAAGCAAACTCTTAAAATAGTTTCCACACAAAAACAAATAATTAAAGCAGAAAAAATTCCATGAAAAACTAGACATCAAAGATTTTTTCCTAGCACCTTTCTTAATCACTTAACATCACCAAAATTGCGTGCTCAAAACTATGTACCAATCCTACAACTCATATCAGTCTTCCTTATTTACTAATGTAGAAAATCAATTCTCTAGCAGCTTGTATCCAAATATGCACCTACACAAACTATGATAAACCAATTGCTAGTACCATACAACATGTCCATCAACTATTAGTTTATAAAGAACAAGGTTCACTTCCAAAATGTTGCACGTTCAGAACCTACATAAAAATTGCTTGTGTCTAGAAATATAATGTTGTCTGAAAACCATATTTATGTGTCAATTACACCAAGCATCATATGTGTCAGTTGCTGCACTAAAATTGAGAGGTACGCGTCAGTTGCACTAGGCTGCAATATATGCGCCTGCAAGTCTTTCCAGTGTTCAAATAGTCCAAAAAATAAAAACACTACATCAAGTTCACTAATCCAGCGCTAATCAGTTCATGCACCAGACTCCATAATGCCTTCAAGGACTCACATACTTAAAACAACCAATATAATCTCATCAGTGAACCATTAACCCCTTGACCATTGGTCACTAGTGCAAAATAGGGCTAAGAACACGGGTCATACGTCTCGGTTTCCAGAAAACCGAAGCATATGTAAAGGCGGTGGCATTTTTGCAATTTGAACGAACTTATACGCCTCAGTTGTAGGGGAACCGAAGCATAAAAGCCAAATTATCTCGTTTAAAAGCCAAACTGAGGCGTAATGTTCTGCCACTTTCCACCTAAAACTGGATATTCAACTGACAACTTTTTGAAATTGCCTTACTGTCTCGGTTCTCTGACCAACCGAGGCAGAAAGGTTTTATATTTAGGTATCCTTTCTCACGAGCCTTGGGTATCTTCCATTTTTTTTCTCTTCTTCGTTCGAAATCGAGAAGCTTAAAGCTTCTGCTCTTTTTCTTCATCGCGACAAACTCAACGTTGATGGCGAGTGTGGCGAGGCACGGCAAGGTCGTGCCGAGGTCGCGGCGAGCTCGAAAAGAGGTCGCGGCGAGGGCGTCCTACAGCGGTGGTGTTTCTGCGAGGGTTCAAACTCCAACTTTTTTCTTCTCTCTTTTCTTTCCCTGCTTCACAAGAAGGGGAGACATCAACCTTCATCTTTTCTTCTCTCTGTTCTGGTTTTGCCTTGTAGGAGCCTTCCTTCTTCCCCAAATCGTTCTCGGTTCTGGTTCTTTCTCGTAAGGAGGGAATGCGAGTTCGAAATTATGGCACAACCCATCTCCGTGACGCGTGGATTCGTTCGCTGGTGTCTCTACGGCGGAGAATGTCTCGATTTGTCGGAGTTCAGTGGCGGTGCATTGCATTCTAGGGTTTCGATTTGGGACTTTGGGGTCCTGTTCTTTTGTCTGCTCTTGTTATATTTGTGCGATTTGAGAAGGTGAGATTTGAGTCTGAGATTTTTGTTTGATCTGCGTTTGGGTTTCTTTGAGAGCTTCGTTGCATCTGCGTTGGGTTTGACCGTGAGGAAGTCCACCTTCGAGGAGCCAATAGCCAGTGACGACGAACAGGTTCAGACTGGATGGCAGTAGACTCTTGGGTTGGGGCGGATTGAGCTTAGTTGGGTCTTATGCATTTTTTGTCATCTTTTGTTGTGTCGCACACTTCAAGACCTTTATGTCGCATTCACCGCCATTTTAGTTTTCTCTCTCTGCTCTTATAGTTCAAATAAATATGCCAAAGTTGTGTTTAGGAAAATAGTGCAGTAACCAATGGTGTGTAATTAATTGTGTTCATGTGTGAAGGTGAATGGATTTTCTTGCAAGGCAGAGACGAATGTGACAGAAGCTGATTTCTTCTTTGCTGGTTTAGCCAAACCTGGAGTTATCAACAACACATTGGGATCTTTGGTTATTGCAGCCAATGTGGAAAAAATTCCAAGACTTAACACATTGGGAGTGTCTTTCTCTAGAATAGACTATAAAGCTGGGGGACTTAACCCACCTCACACACGCCCTCATGCCACTGAGATTTTGTTTGTGTTGGATGGTCAATTAGACATGGGGTTTATCACCACAGCCAACAAGCTCATCTCAAAGTCCATTAAGAAAGGTGAAATCTCTGTGTTCCCGAAAGGTTTGGTGCATTCTCAGAAGAACAGTGGAGATAAGCCTGCTTTAGTGCTTTCTGCTTTTAACAGCCAACTTCCTGCTTTTAACAACCAACTTCCTGCTTTTAGCAGCCAACTTCCTAGAACATTTTTTGTAGTTGCAGCTCTATTGCCCAAAAACCACTCTACTGCCTCGGTTTAGGTCCCAACCGAGGTAGTAGAATCCGAGATATTGATCACTTCAGCAAGAACTGAGGCGAAATCCTACCGCTTTTTGACTCAGTTCACAATTGAGGCAAAACAAAGTAGACTTTTTGCCTCGCCTGTATATGCCTCGGTTGAGGAACCATTGTCATTTCCCTTGACTGCACTAGTGGGTGAACCAATTCAAATACTATGCACCAGTTTAATAAGCAACTATATACTTAAGCTTCCACAACCAACATATTTATCCAACACCATACAACAATGTGACTTCTATCTAACACTTAGATCAATTATAGACACCACATATATACTTATAAAGCTTCATGTTCAAACTTAAAACACCACATTTTTCTAACCAGAATTCCCAAGACACACCATGCATCAGCTACAAAAACTATATCCCTGGATTAACATTATATAGTCCATATTATCACTACATCCAATCTATTTTAATTAGCATACTAAACTGTTTTTTTTAACTAATAAAAATTTCCTCCACCAAACCAGATTTTGTGTCAGCTTAAACAACCAATTTTCAGTAGAATACCACAACAAAAACTTTAATTCCAGGCTTGAGTTTGCAATCCAGAAGCATGCGTCAGTTATTTTTTAGTAAATATTACCATTGATTTAACCAATTAAAGTAATCTAGAGCTGTCAAAACGGGTCACCCGGCCCGACCCGACCCGGCCCACCACGGGTTGGTCACTTAATGAGCCAACCCAGCCTAGCTCATTTATTAGCGAGCCAGAAAAATTCGAACCCGGCCCGACCCACCACGGGTTGGTGGGTAAACGGGTTGGCTCACTGACTCACTTAATTACAATTTTTTTTTAAAATAAAAAAATTTACAAACTTTCCATAATTCAAATCTATACAAATTTCACTCCCCGGTGTTTAATTAATTTTGAAAATAAGAAACTTAAATAAATTTTTCAAACAAAAACAAAATAATAAATATTTTTTTATAAAATTAAAATTAAATTTTAATAAAATAAAATTAGGTAGGTGGGTTGGTGAGCCAACCCGACCCACCACGGGTTCAACCCGCATGAGCCGGGTTGAAATCTGATCCGCATAAAAAATACAATTTTTTCAAACCCAACCCAACTCAAATCCGTGGTGGGCCGGATTGGCCCGCGGGTTGTGATCCATTTTAACAGCTTTAAAGTAATCTACGTGGATAATGTAATTAACACCTTCAACTACTACACTTTTAAAAACAATTTTACAGCCTAAAATCATCCTAACAAGACCAGAATTACCATTGCACCATAACTATCTCAGGGTTTAAATTAAAAAATTGGTTTTTGCATCTAATAACTTCACTGCACCAAGGCCAATTTCAGAAAAGAGCCACTGCACCACTAAATTCCAAGTACAAGTTTTCTTTTTACAGAAACTTAACACCATAAGACACATAAAATTGTAATGCTGAACCATAAAACATGACCACTTAATCATTTAATATTCTGCACCTAAAACAACAAGTATACATTTTCTATGAACTATACAAGAAGCATTCACAGCCTTAATTCAAAAACGCACAACCATTCAATTGAACCGAAAATTATATTTGCTTAAACTAATCACACACTTGTGTACCTGACTTGAATACACTGCAACCAAAATTAAGCACCTTAATATAAAGGATTATATTCCCAAAACACATTTAACAGGACATGCTCAACACATAACATCCCCAAACATCAACTAAAATTCACGTCCAAAGCATTTGTTCAGTGTATCATTTCTGCACATAAAAAATCATTAAAGTTTAGCATCCCTTACCTCTTTTCCAAAAAAAAAAAAAATTCTTTAACTCTATGTTATTAATTCCACAGCCACTTCCTTTGCTAGTTCTCACCCACGACAGATGCACAAAAAAATTATAAGGTCTTAACACTCACGTTCTAGCTCTCTTGCTCACGGCTATTTTCATGTTAAGTTAAAAGTACTAAAATCACACACAACTGAGTCCCTAATAGCATTCACTCATAAATTAATAGTCTATAAAAATATAAATAACACTATAATAATTTATTTGTTTGTTTAACTTTAAATTATATTAAATATTTTCAGCATTTGCTCCATGTGATCCAAACTTATATGTTGTTCAATAGAGTTGTTAGAAAAAAAAACCACCGAAATAATTAAAGTAATAAACGAAGATTTTTTATTATTCTTCCCCAATGTTAATGTTTTAATTTAAAAATAAAAAAAACGTGGCTATAGATGCAGAAAAGAAAAACAAACGAACGATAACTATTTAGTTTACGTTACAGAATTTATCAGTACTTGCTCCACAAACATTTTTAACAAAGAAAAGTAATTAAAGTAAAAAAAAAATACTTTTTAATAAACTAATAAATTTAATAATCTAAAAGTTAAAAATATTGAAGAAAATTATATGAAAGAGTTTCTAAAAATTAAATAATGGACTTATTTAGACAAATTTTCTATAAACACTTCAAAAAGAAAAAGAAAAAGAAAATTTAATAAAATAAAATTCTTAAAATATTAAAATTAACTAATACCTAGAAATCGGTTTACATAAAAGTACGTATAAAAGAAGTTGTCTAAATTTTAATTTATAAGAAAATAAAAGAAAAGAATAAATTTGTTTTAAACAGTCCACGATGAACTTGGATACTTAGCTGTCTATTCATAGTGTGGATTAAAAAAAATGAATGAATATCACGTAATTTTATATCTGGGAGGCACATTTGGACAAAAAGCTAACCTTTCCTGAAACACTGCGCCCTAATGTTTGATGAAAAGCGTTGCATGTGGCGAGCTTCGAAAAGCACAAGTATTTCTAGGACGATGATGATGAACATGCGTTTTGACTATGAGATGGAAGCTTGAAGTGATACCTTAGCATGTTTGAATCAGTTTTTGACTTGCATGAATGTTGGTCCACTTGGTGAGTTTCGAGAGCCTAATAAAGTGGTAGTTTTTGGAACAGTATAGTAACCGCGTACAGTTGTAGAACTGTTGTGTCATGTGAATCGTCGTAGAAATTTCACTTTACAATGTACGATCTTCACTTCCTAGGTACGTAGTCTGCTAGCTAGAAAGTTCCATTCCCATAGGATTCTCTCTTTCTTGTAATACTACAGTCAAACTGTTTATAGGCTGCTGTAATCTCTTTTTTTAAATAATTATAATGAGTTTTAGCTACATTATAATATATGCTTGATTTTAATGGGTACGTGTTGTCGATGTAAAATTTTCACGAGAAAATGAGGTCGTGTACAAACAAATCTGACGGGGATGAAAGATTGTTATACTCTCATTCAAGTTTTATAATTGATGTTTAGATTACGTATTGAATACAAACATTTGATATACAAAAGAAAGTCTCCAAAATTTACACTACTATAGACAAATTAAAATCATTGATTATCACAATTTATCGATAATTTTAAAATTTGTTAATAAATTAAATTTATTAATAATCAAATATTTGTCAATAAAATTCATTTATAATTATCGATGAAAAAATCTGTCAATAATAATTAATAAAATAATTTATCGGTAAAATTTGTTGATAAATATTATGATCTGATTTGTATTAAGAATTTTAAATTATCAATATATTTTACAGACGAATTTTAAGATATGTAATTACTGAAAAATTTATCGATGAATCTTACGTATAAAATTATATTCATCAAAACATTTGTCGGTGATAGATCTTTAAAATTTATCAATACAATCAATTAGTAATTTGAATTTATCAAACAAATTTATTTTCATCAATAATTCTGTAAATATATAGTGAAAAGTGAAATGTTAACTACGAGATATTTCAACAATTTTAAGAAATTTAAATATATAGTATTTAAATTACATACAATTTGTTTTTTTAATTTTTAAATAGCTTTTTTTACGAAGTAATTGAAATATTTTATATTTCAATTTTCTTATTTGGATAAAGTAATTCAATGTTCTTTAAGGAAACATTATATTTTAAAATAAAATTGGATAATTTAACTTTATCTTTTAGCCTAAGTTCACTTAGTTTAACCTTTGACTTTAGATGACTCATCTTGATCTTTAAATTTAATCGACTCGGCCCCACCTACGGCTTGGACTAACTCGTCCAAATTTTTGGCTCGGACTAGCTCATGTCTACCTTTGCCATGACCTTACTCTTCTAAATCCTTGGTTTGAGCCAACTCATCTCAACCTTCGATACATAATGACTTGTCCTGACCTTTGGCCTAGGATGACTAGTCTCACCCTTCAACCTAAACTACTTATTTAAACCTTTGAGTCAAGCTTACTTGTTTCCTCCTTTAGTCAGGGCCTAGGCTTAAGCTGTCTGCACCTTTAGCCCGACCAACTCGTTTTGACCATCAACCTAACTGATTTGTCTCAACCTTTGGTTCAAGCTTACTTGTCACAACCTTTAACCAAGGTCGAATTGGCTCGACCTTTGGCCCAAGCCGACGTGCTCGACCTTCGACATGAATCAATTTGGCTCAATCTTTGGTCCTAAGCGACTTGTCTTGATCTTCGGTCCGAGCTGACTCGACTTGACTTTCGGCTTACGGTGAATCAACTCTTCCCTTGCCCTTTGCAAATTTGTCTCGACCTTGTTGAAGTGCCTCAACCTAGTTCAGGTTGACTCGTTTCAACCTTAGGTCCAGGTCGAATCGTCTCAACCTATGGCCTGCACCAAATCAACTCGACTTTCAAACGTCTAATTGTCTTGCTCTTTGGTCAATCAATGTGTCTCAAGCTTTCTCTCATATCATCGGCTTGTCTCGACTTATGACTCAGACCAATACATCTTAAACTTCAAGTTAGGCCAAATTGATTCTTCTTTCATTCCGAATCAACTGGATTGAATCTTCCGTCTGAGCTGACCCAACTGATCTTTTATTTTAAGTCGACTTGATTGAACCTTTATCTTAATTCGACTCGACTCGACCTTCTTCAGTAAAATTAAACTGAATTGAATTAAAGTGTTGTAATTTAAAAAAA